CGACGGCTGCGAGAAGAGATATTCCAAGGCAATCCCGACGCAGAGGAGCATGTTCTCAGCATTCGTTCTATGCAACACTACATCGGCTCGTACTGGTATCATTTCCACGCACAAATGCCCATCCTACACCAGCCAACCTTTTCTGCCGACGACACCCACGAATATCTCCTCCTCGCGGTCATGGCCATTGGTGCCGCATTCCTCAACAAAGCCCATGGACGAGCGGTTACAGACGCTGCTGCGCGATTTGCCACCTTTATCGCCTGGCATCTACGTTGGCAAGTTTTTATGCATGGTGACTTTCATCCCCCGGCAAAGCTGTGGATTTTCCAGACGCTTTTGTTGCTTGAGGTATATGAGAAAATGAACGCGACTCGAATGCTGCACGAGCGATCCCACATTCATTATGCCACCACGATCAACTTGATGCGAAGAGGGACAGCTCTGATTGAGACGGCGAACCAGGATTCGTCTCGGATGCCTTCATCTCCTGAAGAGTGGTGGGGTCGCTGGATCACAGCAGAAGCCACTCGTCGCGCAGCTTATGCCGCATTCTATCTGGACGCACTTCACGCAGCCATGTTTGGCCACGCGGCAATGATGGTGGTGCATGAAATCCGACTCCCTCTCCCGTGCGACGATGCCCTGTGGTCGGCCACTTCCGCAGCCGAAGTTGGACGCGTTGAAGCTAGTTTGCATGCTAATGGGATCAAACCTACCACGTTCCTGGACGGGCTGAAAAAGACGCTGACAGGCCGCAAAGTTCGGACGAATAACTTTGGCAGAATCATCCTGATGGCTGGTCTTTTGTCTGTGTCGTGGCACATGAACCAGCGTGATCTTCAAGTGTCCAGCCTCGGCGTGTCTCAGACGATGGGTGTTCCAGACGGCTGGAGGACACCGCTGACGAAAGCATTTGACTTTTGGAAGAAAGACTTTGACGAGAGCCTCGAGCACATGCGCAGGGCGGCACTGCCCTGGCAAAAGAACGATAGTGCCCCTGGTCAAGAGGACATGGCGCAGACTGCAGAGATACTCCACCACCTGAGCCACATGGCAATGCATAGCGATGTCATGGATTGCCAGATCTTTGCCGGTATCAAGAGACTCTTTGGCAGGGTTGTGACCAATGGCGATTACGAGAGGGTCAAGTGCAAGCTTTTCGACTGGGCAAAAGGGCCGAGCGCGAGGGTTGCTGTCTATCATGCCCTGCAGCTACTCAAGTCAGTGATACTGCCGGGGAAAGGCGGTTCCAGAAGGTTGTACAACGCGCGCGACGATTATCTTATGATGAGACCTTGGATCCTGTACTTTGCCGCTCTCGTTGTCTGGTCCTACGGTTTCGCTCTTGATGGAGTGCTTCGGCCTTTCCCAAGCCTTTTGCAACCTGATTCATCGCCGGGGGCTGCTTCGGCGCGGTCTCACGGCTCCAATCAGTCGATGCTCAATATGGCGCATGATGGCAGCGAGTTTCAGGTTGAAGCTGTCATCAAGGACGCTCACGCTTTCCTGCAGACAGTCGGGGCGGTGAAATCCCCGCAACAGCTCGAGTCGATCAAGGATGGTCGGAACAATGTTGTCGGAGTGTTGGCGATCCTGGAGACGGCCTTTCGGGATTCAAGATGGGAGTTGTTGCACGAGGCCGCTGATCTTCTGCGGAATGCTATTGTCCTGCTGCGTGGTGCGAGTCGTCAATGATACAGGGGGGAGGCCAGCGTTTTCGTAGATACTGTTTCCATGAGCGGTTTTTGTACAATGTATTGTGTCGTGAGCAAGCCATCGACATGAAGCTATTCCCGAACCACGGTCTGTGAGAGAGAGATCGTGGCACAAACGTCTTATTTGATGATTCGTTTTGTCACGTTTACCATTGAGACTGGAACTCACACAGGGGGGGGGAAGGGAGAAGGGCCGGGGAAGAGGCACACGCTCGACCCCCACGAACTGCCAGCAATACATGTATGGACGTGGGGGAAGCCCGTGCTGTTTCTTTCCCTTTCGCTCCCGGACGATCAACCGCCGAGTGCCAGCCAAACACACCACCCTATCGGCCCTAGTGCCCCAACATGTCCCACTGTATCCCTTGTACGGCATCATTTCCGCCGACACCGGTTCACAAGGATGACAGGTCCATTGTCACCGACGGCAATTGAACGGTGTCTCATCGACATACTTGGCAACCATGTATGTATTGTATGTATGGACCTGGGGTATGTTACAATGGTACAATACATGCGGAGAGCCGGTCCCATGCAAGTTGACTCTTTTTCAAGGACTAGGTGTTTCGATCCTATTTTTCCATACTGACACCACTGATTCTCGTTGTGGTTGGAGGTATATTCCTTTTACTAGGTATACAGTTTCTTCGAGACAGGATCATCGTTTGTCTGTTTTGACTGAGCTTCCGGCACATTTGCCCTGCAAAGCAAACCTTTCTCTTCTTTGCTATTCCCTAATAGTTACATCTCTCTTAAAAGCAACCACTTATTCGAAGGGATGGCCACCAGCCAGCTAAGGTCCCTCGAGGGCACCCCCAACGGGCAACAACGCCCAGCCGTGTCCGACACGCGGCCGCCAGGGGCCAAAATCAAGAGCATCGAGTACTTCCGCGTCAAGCCGCGGTGGCTGTTTGTCAAGATCTGCGACGACCGCGGACTCCACGGCTGGGGCGAGGCCACGCTCGAGGGCCACACGCGGGCCGTCGAGGGCGCTCTCGACGAGATCATCGAGCGCATCGTCGGGTACGAGGCCGAGTAAGTCACTTACCATGTCTGTGAGATCCTTTTTGGGGGGGAGAATGAGTATATATGTGTGAGGCGGATTACTGACTAAGAGGCAAATGGTGTGTTATCCTGCCTGTGGTTAGTGACATTGAACATATCTGGCAGACGATATGGCGCCTGGGGTTTTATCGTGGAGGGCCGGTCTTTATGTCTGCGCTGTCGGGGATCGATATTGCTCTGTGGGATCTGAAAGGTGAGGCGAGTCCAGGGGAGTTTCGGAGACAAGATATCTGCCGCTGGGCCCCAGGGGGGGGGGGGGGTCAAGGGGAAATATTGAAAGATCAGTCTGCTAACGAAAACGAAAAAATCCACAGGTCGGAGACTCAATGTCCCCGTCTACCAACTCCTGGGCGGCAAGGTCCGCAACAAGGTCCAGGTCTACGCGTGGATCGGTGGCGACACGTTCGCCGACATTGAAGGAGCCGCAAAAGCGCGCATCGCGCAGGGTCTGAAGTGCATCAAGATGAACGCCACGGGGCCCGTCAACTGGCTCGACTCGCCTTCCGTCCTGGACGCGACGATCGAGCGGCTCAAGATCGTCAAGGGGCTCGGACTCGACGCCGGCCTCGACTTCCACGGCCGCCTGCACAAGCCCATGGCCAAGCAGCTGGCCAAGGCGCTGGAGCCGTACCGGCCCCTGTTCATCGAGGAGCCCCTGCTGGTCGAGCACCCGGAGGCGCTCAAGCAGCTGGCCGCGAGCACGACCGTGCCGATCGCGTTCGGCGAGCGCCTCTACTCGCGCTGGGACGTCAAGCGGTTCCTCGAGGACGCCAGCGTCGACATCCTCCAGCCGGACATCGCCCACGCGGGCGGCATCTCCGAGACGCGCCGCATCGCCGCCCTGGCCGAGACGTACGACGTCGCCATCGCCCCGCACTGTCCGCTGGGGCCCCTCGCCCTCGCCGCCAGCATGCAGGTCGCCCTGTGCTCCCCCAACTTTGTCATCCAGGAAATGTCCCTCGGCATGCACTACAACGTCGAGGCCGGAGAGGAGGATCTCAACACCTACCTTGTCGACCCGGCCGTCTTTGCCATTCGCGATGGCTACGTCGACGCCCTCACGGGGCCCGGACTGGGCATCGAGATTGACGAGGCCGTCGTCCGCAGAATCGCCCAGTCTACCGGCCATTGGCAGTGTAAAGAGTTTTATGGGCCCGATGGGTCGATCCGGGAGTGGTAGGCCCCTTGGCACGGTGAGCTTGGAGGGGGGAGGGGGAGAGAAGAGATGGGAATGAAGATGGTGATGCAGATACCAACTGTCCACTGTTTTCTCGTGCTTCACTTTACCTGGCCCCGTTTTAAGGTGCGGTGAGAAGTGGGAGGGAAGGAAATGTTAAAAAAGAAAGCATATCTTGATATACTGATCCCAACTGACTATGGCCCCTAGCGCCCCTAGAACCCACTAGGTCTAGGCATTGACCTACTACTAGCCAGGTATACTATCCTCCAGTCTACAACGTAACACCAAACTCCCTACGCACAATACATGGGGATCAGTATCCCACTTCATCTCTCTTTCTTTCCCGCTTTTGTTCCGCCGTACGGGGAACCTCTGATCTGGGGTATGCGGGCATGGGGGGAGGGGGGGCCCGAGAACAGAGCGTCGGTATCTACGCCGCTCGACTCCGTGTGTGGTGTGTGGTGCCTCGCTGGAGGATTCTCAACCGATGGGATCGAATCCTTCTCTGCTCCCCCCAATCCTCTCTTCTGCTCTAGCGGGGAGGGAGCATGGATTGCACTTGTACGACGCACGTTGTTGTGTATCTGGACGGTATTCACAAGGAGTTTTTATTTCGCCCGAGGCCTCCAAGGAATATCTCGATAAAGTACTCGGGTTTTAACTTTGAGTGTGGGCCAGTGGCTCTACCCCACACAGGCAGTGACCAATACCCCCGTATGTATACCTAGCTATGTCATGTAATACCCGAAGGGGGCAGGGTTTCAAATATCCAGAACCTCGTACCTATCTAGTCGTATCCAAAGCTAAAGACATATATCTTGCAAATACGCATGTCTTGATGATGTTGTGCGGCAAGTCAGCACTGTGTATGTGTCGTGGTCCCCTATTCAAAAACACGAAACAAGGGGGGATTTGTCGTCGGTGAAACACTCACATTGTGGGCCCCGCGTGTTTCAGGATCTCGAGTCTGAGATGGACTTCCGCGACTTCAGTCATTGTTTCGACACTTGCTTGCCTTCTCTCGATATCCACGCAAGATGAGGCTCGATGGGATCTCGTTATGTCTTCTTACCCGGTTTGTTGCGCTTGTCACCGCGAGTGAGTCCCCAACCTCATTAGGCGGGACGATCGTCGATTCTTCCACAGAGCAGGGGAGGGAGAGCGAAAGCCCGTATTTTCCCTGGACGCATCAACCCATCTGCTCGGAGCACCTCAGCGAAGCGGGAGATGAGTTCTGCGTCTACACAAACGCGTCCTTCAGCAACGGACGCGGCATCTCCATCTTCACCACGCCCGCGATCGCGCGCGAGTTTGCGTCTCTGCCACCGTTCCAAGATGCCACGGCACTGTCCTCCAAGGGCATCAACCCCGACACAGACGAGGAAGATCGGCCCTGGTACACGGCGTCCCTCCCCGGTAAGGGAATCGGCATGTTGGCGTCGCGGCCGCTCAAACGTGGCGATCTGATCACGGCGTATACGCCCGCCCTTGTCGCACATATAGGCGACCTCGTCTTCTCAGAGGATCGGGAGAGATTGCTGAAGCTGGCTATTGATCAACTACCCCCGGCAAGTCGAGATGCCTATCTCGACCTGGCCAAGATTTACGATGAGCCGGAGGTCGTGGCTCAGGATGTGTTGAAGGCGAATGGATTCGACATGAAGATTGGGGGGTTGTTGCATCCGGCTGTGTTTCCAGAGGCCGCGAGATACAACCATGCCTGTGATCCCAAGTATGTTTGTTGGATATTCTATTCCCCTCCCATTATTTTGACCTACGAGTATATAGCTGACTGGACGCTTTGATAGCGCGCAATACTTCCTCTCGACCGACCTGTTGACACACTACGTCCATGCCGTGCGCCCCATCGAAAAGGACGAGGAAATCACAATCTCGTACGCGCCGCCTCTCCGCCTCCACGCCGACCGGCAGCAATTCTTCAAGTCTGTCTTCCACTTCACGTGTTCTTGTCGACGCTGCTCACCGGACTCCCACAACAGCCTCCGCACGGTACGAGACTCGGACAAGGCTACTCAAGACATCGTCAACCTGCAGTGGCAGCTCTCCCGACCCGACCCGACCGCCGGCGTCAGAGAAGCCGAAACGCTCGTCGACCTCTACAAAGCCGAGGGACTGGAAGGGTTTCTGGACGACGCGTACGGTCACGCCGCACTGGCGTATAGTCGCGTCGGCAGCGCGAGAGGGGCCAAGAAGTATGCCAGGTTGGCGGTCGAGGCCGCGTGGTTCAAGTACGGGTTTGACGGGGAAGGCATGGACAAGGTCAGGGAGTGGGAGAGCATCGCGAGGGATCCTACGGCTCATGCGAGTTGGAGGAGTGCGATCAGGAAGACGGAATTATAGTAGAATTTAATGTGAAAAAGGCAGAGAATTTTGAGCACACGACGCTCCCTTCCTTCTTGCTCACTATTGAAAATGTCTGCGCCACAAAATAGGAGGCGGTGAGGGGCAAGGCAAGGGGGGAAAGAGGCTGAGCTCACGTGCTAGCCTTCCACTATTCCTAATCCGTCCTTGCATGCCCTGCCACGTTGTCGTCCTCTTTAACCGCCAGCATCATCGCTGCGGTTATCATCGTTGAGATGTTTTTAATCATGTCTACACCATTGACGGGAATGAGATCAAGGCCAGGCCTGACGTCCCTCCACCAGTCTGCCACTGGCCTTGTTCGAAGCGCTCCGAACCAAGATGCCGATTGAACCGCTAACTATCACCGTGGCATGCTCCACCCTGATCTCGAACGTCGGAAAAGCCTCTGTGGAGATCTACTCGTTTGTGTCTAGGGTGCGAGATGCCCATCGAGATCTCGACGCTGTCCTGAAGGAACTGTCGTCCCTGGGCCTCTGTTTGGAAACGCTCCGGAACGACGCCATGGTCACCTCCAAGCGCGTACCTCAACCCCTCGAGAACCGGGTTCTTCTCGTCCTGGTCAACACGGCCGAAGTCGTCAAGGAGATGCGCGAGATGTTGGACAACTTGTCCTCGGACAGGTTCGGCAATCAGATGAAATGGGCCATCTACGGGCAAAGCGACATGAACAAGCTCAGAAGCCGGTTGGAGTCTCACAAGGCCGCGCTGGAGATAGCTCTGGCCCTGTTGACTTTGTGAGTGGGCCTTTTTTTTTTCACAGTTTTTCCTTTTATTGAGTGTTGCCATCCGCTTACAGACTCCAGATCTCTCACCACGGCCATCAAGGATGATACAAGCAGTATCCGTCGGAATGTCAAGGAAACTGCCGTAGGTCTGGACCAGATTGTCCAAGTCCTAGCGGCGTTGCCAGAACGTGTTGCCGCCCAGTTACAAGTGGGCGCATTGAATGAAGCAGCCATCGTCGACACTAACAGACCAGCTCTGCAGGAATTGACAGCACCAGAAGCCCCAGTGGAAAACTCTGCCCGGACCCTCGAAAGTCTTTTTCCTCCTCCACCCATGAATGCGGAAGATCAAACCCCAAGCAACTTGGATGCAGCCGCGGCCGTACAGTCCAGCAGCCCTGCGTTGGCTGTTGTGGCTGCCGAGTCTTCAGGCCAGCCAGTCAACAGCACCCAGGACCAGGCATCTCGGTCTCCAAAATGGCGGAATGACAACTCGCATTCAAAGCTTCAACCGCCGCCGCCGTTTGAGCAGGTAGCGGTTGATAAGGAGCCTGATGCGCCGGAAGAGTGGGTATCGAGGATAGACAGGCTGGCCCGCAGATTGGAGCAGGAGAAAAGGGCACGTCAGCGGAATAAAGAGGAGCGTTCGGGACGACGGGCGGGAAAATCAACCCCTCGCGAAGATGAAGTGTTGAAATGGGACGACTCCTTGCGGCCTCGGATGACAACAAATTTCCCCGGCGCTCCCGTTCGAAAGAGGACTGGCCATCCGCCTCTGGGTATGTCGCAATTCCCGGACGTCGACGACGACGACCATGACAACCGGCAAGCACCTGGGCTCTTCGAATCTATGCAGCGCAAGGCTCTGGGTGGAGACAGCCAGGTAGAGCGCGGCGGAGAACGACCACGACTTCAAGAGGACGACAAGGACAACGACAAGCAACCACGTCAGTTTTTCTTCCCAAGTTTCTTTTCCGGCCCAAGTCCCAGGCCTATGGAGAAACCAGAGAAATGGACGTAGATCAAAAGTGAATTCCTGCGCCCCCGTGCAGTCACGCCCCCACGGTCAGTTAGAGACACTGACAAGTTGGCAACAGGTGAGGTACGACGAGGGGCAAACATGAAAAAGCGACCGAAGGCGTATCCGGAAAAGGACAGGCCGTATGAAATAATTTGGCCAGAAGAGACAGCACATCAGCCATTTTCATAGGGCAGTTTTGGGGGATTTAGGGACTATGTTGTGCTGATTGATGACTCGAATCCGCTCCTCTTGGCCGTGACTTGTGTGTGTTCGTGGAGGTAAAAGGTGGACTGTGGACTGTGGACTGTGGTTTGTTGCGGAATTGCCATCGAGGGAATCGGACATGATGCGTACGACAATGGCATCGTACAGCTTGGGATTATTATGGCGATATATGGGGTTATCTAAAGTCATCATGTGGCTTTTTCTGTCGAGAATCCAGTGAAGCAGAAAAGGACAGCTTTGGGGGGCTATGTAAATATATATATATATACCTCTCTCTCTGATAAGTGGTAAATGGTCAGAATATCGGTAAAGTGACAAGACCACCGTTTTCAAGACGGTACGGTGTTGATTGAATACTGGGAAGAGGAAGGGAGGACGATCCAAGTCCGCAACTTGGGTGGATCGGGCACGAGCACAGGCCATGGGGTAAGATACATACGACGCAGGAGTACATGCATACCGGGTAAGTACGTGGGACCTTGTAAGTGTGTTCTCAGTGGCGTCGGCTTACCCCCGCGGGGGTTTGTCGATCTCTGGAGAAGGAGGAGGGGGGAGTTGGAGGAGAAGGAAGGGTGGTACAGTAGTACTGGCTGGCGAACAGCAGACGAATGAGTGAGGGAGGAAGGAGTGCGAAACACACCACGTTTTTGGAACTTGTCGTCGTCCATACCTAGAGGGATTAGATAGATAGAGGGAAGAGAGTCACTAATGACATAGCATGCTCGGTTGGTACTGTGAAGGTGTCATAACACAGACACGCACGAGAGAGAGAGAGAGAGAGAGAACCCCCCGCAGCGAATATTCAAACCTACAAGGCTGAACGAAAGGGGGAGGTTAACCGCCATGGCCCTCACTTTTCCGGCCATGTTCTCGCTCGAGAATAGGACCGCCGTCGTCACAGGTACGTCAGGTTCAGATTCTCGGGTTCGGCGGGGACTCTGAGAAGGACTATCACCTTAGCTCGTTGTACACGCTGACTCTGGGATACATCAGGCGCGACAAGAGGTATTGGAGCCGCAATGGCTGTGGCCCTGGCAGAGGCTGGGGCTGACATCGTTTTGGTCCAGGTAGTGACAGACCCCCGACACACTGAGGACGGCGAGGGTTGCTCACTGGAACATCCATCTGTCCGTCTGTCTATCGATCTATCTATATCTCTAACACCTCAAGAAATAGAGAGACGACACCAACACGACGACAAAAACCGCCATCGAGGCCCTCGGCCGCAAAGCCTCCATCTACACGGCCGACCTGGCCTCACAGTCCGAGGTTTCCAGCCTCGCGCCCAAAATCCTCAACGAAGGCGGCCACGACGTGTCCATCCTGGTGACGTGCGCGGGGATCCAGCGACGGCATCCCGCACACGAATTCCCCCTCGCGGACTGGGACGAGGTCGTCCAGGTGAACCTGCGGAGTGTCTTCACCCTGTGCCGCGACTTTGGGGCGTATATGCTCACGCGACCTCTCCCGACGGGTGGTGGGAGAAGGGGCTCCATCGTCAACATCGCCAGCCTGGTCAGCTTCTCCGGCGGGCTGACCGTCCCTGCCTACGCGGCCGCAAAGGGCGGCATCGCCCAGCTCACAAAGGCCCTCAGCAACGAGTGGGCCGGTCGCGGGGTCAACGTCAACGCCATCGCGCCGGGTTACATCCACACGGACATGAACGAGGCGCTCATCAACGATGAGACCCGCGCCAGACAGATCCTCGAGCGCATCCCTATGGGTCGGTGGGGGACGCCGGACGATTTCAAGGGCGTGGTCGTCTGGTTGGCCAGTCCGGCGAGTGCGTACGTCTCGGGCCATGTGCTCGTTGTTGATGGGGGGTGGATGGGGAGGTAGGTAGGTAGGACACTACCTTACCTAGGTCCTCGAGGGTGGTGTCGTGTGTCAGAGGAATCAAAGGGTAGGGCTATTGGAGTGATTGACAGAGAGGGAGGGTATGGCATGACAAAAGGCTGCTTTACTCATGAGATCTGGCCCGAGGAGAAAGCTGCACGGCGGGCCCTATGAAAAGGACAAGCAGGTAGGTAGATGTTTGCAGTGAGTATCAGCGAGTCCTTGTCCACAGAAATGTGATCATTTACGCTTTTCGCTTCTCGCTTCAAGGCTACTACTACATCCCATCCAATCTGTCACTGCTGAGGACACGACATGACGAGACAACAACAGTGACATGCATCCCGACGTGCCAAGAAGCCCTATGTGCCTTGATCTAGACAAAATCAGTTGTCTGACAGCGACTTAATACTTCAGGAACCATTGCCCCACTGCACCTAATAAAATAAGGAATGGTCCTAAATTGTGTCCATTGGGAAGCTCGCCATTCGAAAGCGTTGTTGGTCTGACTGTAACTCATTTCACTCCTGCAGTCCTAGATACTGGTATTTGTAACTTTACTTTTTATGCTTTGCTTAACAATAGAGCGAAAACATAATCCCAGAACAAAATACAACCGTTATTCTGGATATTTAGTTCGTTATGAATACTGCGTCCTCTGCAATCCACAACCTCTTGGAGTAGAACTCTGGCAAAGCCTCTCCCTAGCTGCCTAAAGACTCAGACTAGAACGCCGAACTAGGTCCATATGGACCTCCGAACATACTCGTCGTGTTTATTGCGTTAGGTTATGATTCAAAGACGTGGCAATAGCTGCGCATGCCCGAGCTATCGATCTCTTGAATAGCCTGCTGCAGCTCTCCCTGTCGTCTACGCTTTCTTGGAACCTGATCGGAAACTGGTAGAGAAAGTTTGCCCTCGGTTGGAACTTAACCTCCAGCGCCTGGTCCAGAGGTCGCGATCCCCGTCGTCTCCTGTGTTCGACTGTTACTCTATGATGTCCCGGTAGCTCATCACTCGGGCAGTCCCTACCACTTTCGATTTGGTGGATACGCGCAAGTTTTTTCTCACAATTCTGAAGAAATAGTTGTTGGCTTCGGTCTCGTAACAGACTGCTCTCGGTTAACGCCCGCTCGGCGGCGTTAAGGGCTTTTTACACTCTATGCTGGCTTCGCTCGCTCACATGGCGGGATTCACCTTCAACCAGGTGCCGGAGCGCTGCAAATCCCTCGGATGTCACGGGTGTGGCCTATATTTCGTCGGCCGGAAAGAACTAAGTCTGTTGAGGTGTGATGTATGCTGGAATCTGATCAATTTCCGGTCCTGTGATGGTGGCAAGGACACGATCCGAGTCAAACGGGAAGAGGCCCACCTTTTTCCAAGCAGAAACAATGTTAAACTCGGTAAAAGCGGCTTGCCGTGCTCGGCTATATAATAATGTAAAGTGCTGCTTGCCAACTGTTCCAGCTCCTCCGCGGTACAGTTACTCGACTTATTCTCGATATGCTATCTTAAGCGGGCCAAAGATGCCGACGTCGAGCGGCTGGAGTTTACGAGAAGTATGGGAAGGTAAACGACAAAGGATAATATTGTGATGGAAACAAAACTCGAGTAGCTCAGCGGATTCATGGGTGGCAAAGCCATCATTGATCAAAACACGGGGTTTACTACAGGCTCGGGAGCGGGTTTGAGGTTCAAACACGTCCTTAATCCACGATAGACTGATATGTCTGTCGATATATCCTTTGGGTGAACACGTAAAGTGCTAATCAGGCGTGGGATGGGTGGTCCAGACACTACGGTGGGTCGATGCAGGCCAGATAATCAAGGGCGGGAGGGCAGTTCCTGTCGCAGACACACATTCTATAGCAGTAACGAGAACGCGTTTTACTCCGGTGCCTCGATGGCGGCGCGTGTCCTCGCTGTGCACCAACATTTTGACAGTCGTGGCTTGACCGAGGAGCACGCCTGTCTCACCCATATTGTACACGTTCTCGGGAGTGATATCAGGGTTAGCTAGCTCTATGCCAATGATGTCGAACCAGTGTTTGACCTTGTCATATATATTCTCGTTAGCTCTTAGCCAGTCGATGCCTTTAAGCCTTCGGGCCCGCAGTTCTGGATGACGTGAGTAAAGTGCTTGGGGATTGTTCTTGCCGAGAGGTTGCGCTCTATCGTTTGTCTGTGTCGAGTACGTGGTGCCACGACGCCGCCTGATAACTAGTGCCAATCTTCGCAAGGCTTTAACGGGCAGGGAAAAACCGTCGTCTGCACACCGTAAAACATAGGCGACTAGCGCCTTCTCTTCTTGTGGTGTGAGGTACTGTTGATTGATGGCTTTCTTCCGCCTTGCAAACGCTTCAGTCGAACTGCTCGGGAGTGTAGAGGGGCGAGCGTCGCTCGACGAGGGCAGGTTAGTCGCTCTTCTTGACGAAAACCGATCGTCTCCGGCCGTGGTGGTTAAATTCATCATTTGGCGCTCGACAGTGGCTTCATAGAAGCTCGATATTTACTCTAATGGAACGACGCCCCGGGTTGACGTACCATGGTCAAGGCCACGGTTGCAAGCTGAGCATTATCGGAACGGAACAGTTTTACACCGGTAACTGCGCCCTCTTGTGCGACGTGGCGCAGTCAAACTGTTTAACCCGTAAGGCTGGCAGTGACGATGTTGAGTTCAACCATTCCCATGCTCACGCATTGTAACTTACTAGGTCTTGTTAATTTCTTGCAACAACGTCACACCTCGCAGCCCGCGAGCAGACTTCGAGGACAACATCATGGGCGACCCACTATCCGTTGCCGCTAGCGTGGCTGGCCTACTGTCTCTCGGCTTACAGAGTACAGAGTACCTTTACAAGTACTACACCGCGTGCCGAGATCAACATCAGGATCTCGCCAAAATTGCAGACCAACTCGGTAGCCTTCTCGAATCCGTCCAAATTATCGACGAGATTGTGCGCACCCGCACCTGGCGGCGCAACGAGCAGTCAATCCTACAATCTATTGAAAATTCTATCACTCATAGTGAAGAGGCTATAAAAGGGTTACAGCGTGAAGTCGACAAATTCAAAAATGAGCCCAACAACGACTGGAAAAAAAAGGTAGTGTCCGTTGGGCGACGGGCGGCGTATCCATTCAAGAGGAGCACATTAGAAGACCTCGGCGACGATGTGAACGAGTTTCGTGGCAACTTGTTAACCGCACTACAGGCGCTTCAGCTGAAAGAGCATCAGAATACACAAGGCGACATCGAGGAGGTCAACGCTATCGTCAAGGACATACAGGCACGAAGCGTCAGTGCCGGTCTGCGGAAGTGGCTGAGTGCACCTGACGCGTCAGTCAACTTCAATGCCGCAGTTGCCAAACGACACGCGAGCACTGGGCAGTGGTTGGTCCAAGGTCCCGCCTATACCACATGGCTACAGCAGAGCAATTCATTTCTGTGGCTGTATGGCTTCGCTGGCTGTGGAAAGTCCGTACTGTGCTCGACGGCGATCCAGCACGCCTTTCGCCGCCGACAATCGTCCGCCGACAGTGCGGCCGCCTTCTTCTTCTTCGACTTTAGAGACGAGTCGAAACAAGATGCGTCTGCGGCGCTAAAAGCATTGCTACTCCAGCTCTGTGGGCAGATTCCCGGTCTGGAGGCAGACTTGACCCGCCTGAAAGATTCATCTAATCATAGCACTCCACCGGTACAGGTCTTCCTGGAATACCTGCGACAAGGCGTGGCCCGGTGTCGCAACGTCTATATTCTACTTGATGCCTTAGATGAGAGTCCTGCGGGCAACTCGCGCCTCGAAGTCCTATCGCTGATAGAGACCATGCGACAATGGCAGCTGCTGGGCTTGCACTTGTTAGTCACCAGTCGGGACGCCTCCGATATCCGAGCATATCTACAGTTTCCGGCACTCCCCGCGGGCGTAGAGCATATCGCGATGAAAAACGACAGTGTCCAGGAAGATATCTCGCGATTTGTGTCATTTCAAGTTGACTACGACCGTGAGCTTCAGCACTGGGGTAGCCATCGACAGAAGATCAAGAGCTATCTGGTCTCGCATGCGGATGGAGTGTAAGTAATTCACTATGTTTGTCCATTCCCACGTACAAGAGCTGACTGATGTGCAGATTTCGTTGGGTCGAATGCCAACTTGAGCCGCTGCGGCAGTGTCCTCTAACTGAGTATCATCTAGAAGAGTGTCTGCGAGAACTGCCAGAGTCTCTTGACGAGACGTACGAGCGGATTCTCTGTGGCATCAAGTTTAAGAAGGACGCGCAACGAATCCTGTCCCTCCTGTGTTATGCATCGCGGCCGTTGTCGATCGATGAGGTCATTGAGGCTCTCGCTGTCGACATTGACAACCGTGAGTGCTATAATCCAAGGAGGAGAAGCACTGGCGGTGCTGACCACCTCACTCGAATTTGTCCTGGACTCATTGAGATCAGCCTGGATATATTGGGTACACAGGGAGTCCGGATTGCTCATTTCTCGGTCCAAGAGTTCCTACTCTCCGACCGCATTCGAAAAGGTCGAGCGGCCGATTTCGCTTTGTCAGGCCCATCGCAGCATGAGCGGATCAGCAAAACTTGTCTACTTTATCTCCAACACGAAGAATTCTTGCAACAGAATTTGAGCCCAGATCTCGTGAGACAATATGCCTTTGCAAAATATGCTGCGGAGCATTGGCACCACCATTATCGCCAAGCTGACGGCCAATTTGCCCGACAGTTGTCAGAGATGGTTCGCAATCTGTTGATGACGCGCTGTGCGAAAGAACGTTGGCTTCGGCTAGGCAATCCAGAACCGCCATGGTCAACTGACGTGGATTACTCCACAGTCGCTGAAAATCATCCTTCGGCAACATACTATGCTTCTCTTCTTGGCCAAGACGAAGTGTTGATGCTTATTCTATCTATATCTACAGCAGATGTCAACGCACAAGGAGGCTATTACGGCAACGCACTACAGGCGGCATCAGAGCATGGCCACGAGAAGGTAGTGCAGATACTACTCGAGAAGGGTGCCGATGTCAACGTACAGGGAGGCTATTACGGTAACGTACTACAGGCGGCATCAATGCATGGCCACGAGAAGGTAGTGCAGATACTACTCGAGAAGGGTGCCGATGTTAACGTACAAGGAGGCGATTATGGCAACGCACTACAGGCGGCATCAATACGTGGCTACGAGAAGGTAGTACAGATACTACTCGAGAAGGGTCCCGATGTCAACGCACAAGGAGGCCGCTATAGTAACGCACTACGGGCGGCATCAGAGTATGGCCAGGAGAAGGTAGTGCAGATACTACTCGAGAAGGGTGCCGATGTCAACGTACAAGGAGGCTATTACGGCAACGCACTACAGGCGGCATCAGGGTATGGCCACGAGAAGGTAGTGCAGATACTACTCGAGAAGGGTGCCGACGTCAACGTACAAGGAGGCCGCTATAGTAACGCACTACAGGCGGCATCAATGCGTGGCCACGAGAAGGTAGTGCAGATACTACTCGAGAAGGGTGCCGATGTCAACGTACAGGGAGGCGATTATGGTAACGCACTATAGGCGGCGTCAGCGGGTGGCTACGAGAAGGCGGTATAGATTCTTACTTAACTACCTCCCCACCTGGATCGGTATGGAATGTTACCGTAGTACAATATACATATAGTGCTCCGTACACTTAATATATACCTTATCAAATAACTCTGTCAGACGATCGTTAGGGACCATTGTGTTTGAATCCCAAATTTGGGAACCCCGCCTAACTTTAGCGAAGAACGTCCACAGCAATAAACTTCGGTCAGACATTTCAATTTAGCCTAAATTTAGTACGGCGGGACTCTTGACACAAAGGGATATATGTTAATCCCTCCACAGACTTTATGACGAACTGGGCTTCATCCGCGAATCCACCGCCAGCAACAAGGTATACAGCACCTCGAGGATCGGGATGGACACGCCCAACTCCCTGCCCTTGCGCACGGGCGTGCCCAGGATGACATCGACCTCCATGGGGCGGCCCATCTTGGCGTCGGTCTGCATGCTGCTGCCGATGGGCTGCATCTCTTGGATCTTCGTGATGAGCTCGTCGACCAGCTCGTAGCGGAGGGGCACGTCGCAGCGGCGGGCCACGTCGATGACCTCGTGCATCAGGTTGCGCGTCAGGGGCATGGCGTCGGGCGACGACCTCAGCCACGCGTGCGTGTCCAGCATCGTCAGCGTCGTCAGCGAGTTCCACGCCACGTTCCACACCACCTTCTCCCACCGCTGGATCTGCACGTTGTCCTCGACCGAGAAGGGCGTGTGGCCCTCGCGCAGCAGCGACGTGAATTCGTCGAGCCGCGCCTGTTCGACCGCCGGGTCCAGCTCCGGGTTGCGGAAGACGCCGATCTGCGTGTTTTCCGATTTCCAGTGGTGAACGGTCCCGGGCGTGTTTTGGCTGGCCCCGACCCACGTCTTGTGTGTACTCATCCGTCAGTTGAAGAATGTACGTGTGGCGGATTAGACAGGAGGGCGGGCGGGGGACAGGAAG